GATGTTGCTCTAACAATGAAGGATTGTGGGTAGTGTAGTACTGCTCCATGACATTGCAAATAAAACATGTATATCTGGATATTATAAGGACATATATGATCTTTTCTCACAATCTCATAGCTTTCCTATTTTGGATGGTAACAAAATGATAGTCAAACACTTCCCTTGATAGTTTGAATGGGATCTTCACTTCCTGGACCTCACTGTTGAGCTTTATTATTTTAACACTGATCATTGTAGGTGCATAAAAAGACACTCCAGCACCTCTTCTCTGATAATGCCACAGAAGGAAGCAGGGATGAGAGGAGGGGAAGTCGCTGGACCTCTCGTTAGGAATCGTGACCAAAACGCCACAGGAAGTCTAAGATATAGATATTTGTGGAAAAATATTTCCATCATTTGAATTTGTGTTTTTCATCCCTGGGCATTATCTGAACATCATCCTCAGTTACTGTAGTTTCCCCAAAGGTTTCATGTGAGTGTGTGTTCACAGGGTCAACACACACCCTCGTGGCACAGAAAGGTCGGAGAGCCCGGCTTTTGATTCCCATGTTGTCGAAAAAACAAATAAAGAAATTCGGGGGGGATGTTGTAAGCCGCAAAAAATAAATGGGGGTAAAATGAGAAAAAAGTGGGGACAAATGAATGCGAGTTAAATCTTATTTCAGGGGTTAAAGAAAATAAAAGTTGAACGTGGGCTTGGTTAAAAAGTCCCACTTCTCTTTTGGTGTGATTTAAAAGCTTCACAGCCTAAAAACCTAGGCTGGTTATGGGTGGAAGGGTGGAGCGAGGGGTATATATATATAATAAATAAATATTATATATAAGTGTATTACACACATCGCTTACATCTGGTCGCCTGGTACTGAAAGCTTTGGCTTCTCTAACCTTTCTCAGCCGCTTTTCCTCCTGCCTGCTTGTCCTTCTCAGAAGCAGAGTCCTCCCTCATCAGCGGCGAGGTGAGAGAAATGGTCACCTGCATTTTGGGCTCCTTGCTTGAAAATATCACGATGTTGGCCTCCTCGGGGTGAGCCTGCACCTCATACTGATCTTCAGAAAATGTCTGCCGGTTCAAAGGACACTTGGGATTACTCACTACAGAGGAGGCGGGGCAGAGAAAAGCCTCATTGGGCAATACTGGTATGTTTTTAACCCCCTAGTTCTTTATTTTCAAGGTATTTAACAAGGGTGTTATCATTGAAACATTTCACATTTAATGTTTGTGATTGTGATGGTGGTTTAATAATAATAAAAAAGCCCCATCTCACTCTGTAGGATTCAGGTGTCATAACCAGGCAGTGCATCTAAAGATCAGTCAAAAGCAGCTTCAATCAAACATTACAGCAGGAGGGAGGAAGAGGGAGGAATTACAACACGTCAAACCCTGTTTGGAGACAATCCTCTGTGGTGTGGAGCTCAGATGGAAATGTTTGTTCAGGCTAAAAGGCAGTTCAGTCCTTTGTGAACATGAACACGTTTTCTCCCAAAGCCAGAAAGCATTACAGGAAACAGACGTAATGGATTTAGACCAGTTAACTTTGAATAAAAGCAGTTCTGAACCATCAAATCATGTGAACTGGTAGCTGATAATGACAACTTTAACCTCTAGTATCATCAAGTCAAAAGAGATATAAGAGAATACAAGAGATAGTTTGGAGTGGGGTTATATGAGGTGCTTATCCATGGTCAGTATTTTATCTAAAGTAGATTGAGGTTGGAGAAGCTTTAATTTAGAGAAACAGACAGAAGCACCATCAGGAAGTGAAGCAATAGGCACGTTCACACCGCAGTACTTTTCCCACTTTAGTTCCAATATAGTTCCGAAATGTCGCGTTCACGCCAAAAAAATCCGGGACTAAAATTAGTTCATGAGAACCTTTTCATCCTGCTAGAGAGCAGGGACTTTCATGGGAGAAAAGGTTTCCTATTTCTGATTGGCTTGGCAGATTGAAAACCACGCCCCGTAAAACTCCCAAAAAGTTTTGTAAAGTCGCCATTTTATTATCCTCGCATTAGCATTATTAGCATTATTAGCATTAGCCCAGCGCACAAACGCGGAGAGACTAACTTATGGCAACTCAAAATAAAACATGGGAGCGGTGGAGATGAGGAGGTGTTCTGTCGATTTACTCGGAAGGCTTCAGTAGAAGCTGCTGGGACTCCCAGCAGCTTCTACTGAAGCCAGTCCCCAACTCCGGGGACTTCCGTCCGGGGACTCCGGGTGGCAGTATACGCCGTGAAGTTGTTTGCGGCCTGCCAGTAAACCCAAAGCATAAGTAGAAGAAGTGACGTCAGCGGCTTCATTTGCCTAATCCTCCCTCAGGAACTTATTCCGGTGTGAACGCAATCGGTTCTTAGTTCATGAGAACTAAAGAGTTCTCATGAAGGAAGTGAAGCGATGTTCTGAAAACCATTGTAGCAGCAAAACACACATAAAAATAATCAATATGAGTAAAAGTGGACTCTATATTTAGAGTATTTTCACCTCTGTACGTTGCAGTAAAGAGCTGAAAACCATGGATTAGCATCTCATTCGAACCCCCTTCAAAAACAGCCAAACAATCCCTTTTATAGTCATAATTATATAATGTGTGGAGGACAAACTGCTCTGTTGTTTCTGGCTGTGGAGAACAGCTGTTCACGTTCACAAATGATGAATGAGCCGCTCTAGCGTTTGACAGAAACCCATCTCAGGTTTGTGTTTTGTTTACTTCCTCACAACGTTTTGATTGTTTGTCTGTGTTATACATGTTGTGAAAACTTCTCGTTCCCACTCTGTTTGTTACACAACAATACAGAGCTTCAGTCGCTAATGTCCTGCTCTTATGACACAATAGACTTGCATTACATTTAACAAACTTCTGATAAAACTCTTTTTTTTCCTCGCTGTTTTTGTTCGGATCTACATTTTATAATCCAAGTGTATGTCACGAAATGCTAAAATATGTTAAGATACAAGTGTAAACGTAAGAGAGTCAGTGTTGTGAATTCCAGGTTGACCACAGTTCCTCCCTCCATTAGCCTCAACCTATGTCCTAAATCCACCGGCGAGGTTTTCTTACCTGCAGTTCTTTGGGCAGATTCTTGGCGATGTTCTTCAGCAGAGTGATGGTGGGTTTCTTAGCCGTCAGAAGGATCAGTTCCACATTTCTGTCCCCGCGAAGAAGCAGGCCTTTAGCCAGGATGCCTACTCTCATCACTCCTTTCAGGACCCGAGGAGAGCTCTCCGTGCTGCGAGAGAAACAAGTTATTCAGCTGAGGTGGTTCCTTTAACACTGGAACCGCCAACGGGTACATTTTACCCGCAGCCGTTTCTTGATTGTATGTAACTTTTTTTCAATAAAATATTCAAGTCTCCCAGTCCGTGACTTTTCCTGAAAGTCTGTTATGTCTCTGTTGTTAAAAATTGTCAATATGAAGTCAGATTAAAAAATGGCCAAAACATTTTTCATTTATACCCATCAGCGCCAGCGGGTAATATTAACCTCATAGAAAATGCAGTGTTTACATAAAGAGGACGTGTTGCTATAGCAACGCCTATTTACTACGGTTCCTTATAGATAGATGGATAGTTATAGAGAGAGAGATAGATAGATAGATAGATGGATAGTTATAGAGAGAGAGATAGATAGATAGATAGATAGATAGTTATAGATAGAGATAGATAGTTATAGATAGATAGATAGTTATAGAGAGAGAGATATAGATAGTTATAGATAGAGATAGATAGTTATAGATAGATAGAGAGAGAGATAGAGCGACACTTTGCACATAACTCACGGTAGCGATCTTTTATACTTCATGCAATCTGCATGAAGTATAAAAATATAGGAAAGCTGAGAGTCCACAGATTATATTGGTTTAAGTTTCATCAGTGTGCGATCAAAACTCACTCTTAACCCTGTGTTCTAGTATGATAAATAAAAGAACATTGTACCTTGAAAATCAATGCATTCTAATAGCGGGTACATTCTACCCATTGGCTGTTTTAGGTATACAGCGACCCCTGGTGGTTCTAGTGTTAAAAGGTGCTTTAAGACGACATATTATACTGATGTTTTTAATAATAATACATTTGATATTTGTAGCGCTTTTCCTAGTGCTCAAAGACCCTCGTTACCCCTTCTCGTCTCCTTCCTTCATGCATAAAGCAGAGTACCAGAAGCCCCTCGTTACCCCTTCTCGTCTCCTTCCTACATGCATAAAGCAGAGTACCAGAAGCCCCTCGTTACCCCTTCTCGTCTCCTTCCTCAGCAGCTTCAGTCTCCACAGGTGGCTCCTCCTTCTCCAGCAGAGAGTCAGACACCAGCTTCAGAGCCCGCTCGGAGTGAGAGACGATCCTCTGCACCGCCTGCAGCTCCTCCTCCACCGGGTAGATGGTGGAGTGTTTGGCCATGATGTGCCGGTCATCGGGGGAGTCTGGCCGACGCACACAGGTCTGTAAAAAGAGAGGGGGAATTAAGTGATTACGCTAATCAGCTTATTTTACAAATTCTCACTTTTTTGCAAAAATCGAATTTTTTGATTAAATCCTGTTTTTTTTCTCCAGAAATCTCACATTTTTTTTCAAACTCTTGAGTTATATAATTCTAACTTATTTTTCAGAATTGAATTGAAACTTCATGTGTTCCAGTGTAGGTGTTGCTGCCTGAATATGCTTTATGAAAGGCAGGTTTTCCTTTCAATCAAATCATTTCTGATCCTAAATATCTTGGTTTCTTCTTTCCTAAGGTCACATTGTTCTGCTGTCTTACATAATGCA